TGCTGTGCATTTGTATGCAATATTGAGTTGTCATCATCATCATCACTTACGAAAATAACAGGACAACCCAGTCAAGTTGGTCAGACCGACTTAATAACCACGAGTTATATTACAAGTTTGACTCTTACCGGGCACCGAGACTCCTGGTTTATAATGACAAAGAAAGGTAGTGGCAATCACATTTATATGTATTATACCATGCATGCACATATATATTTACATATACACTCAACATATATTACAGATACTTATTTGGAAATGGCTTAAATTAATTGGTTTTGGGTTTTGTGGCGGCGAGGGGTGAGTTCTTCTTGAAACTGCGGTTTCCGTTGATGTCCTTGTTCCCTTTGGGAGAAAAAACGGCGCCTTTGGCGGATGCCGGAGACGGCGGCGGCCACTGTCCACACGCAACGGCCATATCGCGTAGGTGTTGAAGGCTCTCCAGAGTCTCAATAATGGCCGGCATTTTGGGTCTGTCCTTTGCGTTGGAGCTGACGCATTGTAATGCTAAGACCGCCATTTCCTTTGCTCCCTTGACGGAGTACTGGCCGGCGAGTCTTGGGTCGATTATGCATCGCAGCCGCCGGCTGCTTGTCAAGTACGGCTTTGACCAATCCACCAGGTTTTGCTCGTTTTTCGGTCGCGTTTTTTCGGTTGCCCTTCTTCCCGTTAGTAGCTCTAATAGAACCACCCCGAAGCTATATATGTCACTCTTGGTAGTAAGATGGCCTGATCCAGTAAAAATTAACATATGAAATCACAAAAACATAGTATAAAACCTTAAAAAATAGTATGCAAGAATTTATTATATACTAACCCGTGCTAACATATTCAGGAGCGGCATATCCATAAGTGCCCATAACTTGAGTGGTCACATGAGTCTTGGATCCCTCTGGTCCCATATGAGCAAGTCCAAAATCAGACAATTTGGCATTGAAGTCCTTAATTAAAAAAGAAAATTCAGTATTTTATTATTTTTTAATTAATAAATAGATAGAAGAAGAAGGGATGTATTTTGAGGGGGAAAAAAGTATACAGAATCCAGCAAGATATTGGAGGTTTTGAAGTCACGGTAGATGACAGGCTTCTCGGCACCATGCAAGAAAGCCAGCCCTTTTGCTGCTCCTATTGCAATCTTCAATCTTGTGCCCCATGGCAATGATAGAGACAACCCTGGATTGTTAATTATATATTATTATGTATTTATGTTAAACGAAATTATTTGATCTAATAAGTTAAGACAGAATAAAGTGTTGATCGACTCACTTTTAAACAGATGATTTTCTAAGCTGCCTCGAGGCATGAATTCATAGACCAGAAGCCGCTCTTCGTCTTCGCAACAATACCCAACCAATCTCACCAAATTTGGGTGCCTTAGCTGCCCCAAAAATATGACCTCGGCCTTCCAAAAACGTACAAAACATAATTAATTAAAAAGTTACCTTAGCTTAATAAGTTAATATGAATTATGATACGTACGAGCCATTCACGGTGACCTTGAAGGCCTTCAATGTCAAGAAGCTTAACAGCCACAGGCTGAGCCTTCAAACCGGCCCTCATATTCTCGTCCAAATACCCTTTATGCACCTTACCAAAACCGCCTTCTCCCAGCAGAAAATTGCTCGAGAAATTCTGCGTTATGGCTCGCAGCTCACTCAGTTGAAAATCGCACAAGTCCTGCCCAAATGACTGCGCCAGATCCTCGTTAATCCGCGTCGACGAAGATCTGCTGAGATCCGAGAACGATAGTCGCCGGAACGACGGCAACGGCGCAATGTTCTTCGAAAACTCCGACCTCGACGGCCGGCACCGGCTGAAGTTGCCGCACAATGCTTGGTGTTCCGCGGAACAGCACCGCCCACCCGTCAAGGGTCTCCAAGGCTTCGACCCCATTATTGTAGTGAAGTTGGTGATCGAGGGAATTATGGTGTGGATCGGCAAAAGTGTTTGGAATCGTGCGTCTTATATTATAAGTGAATGTAGTGAGTATATATGTATAAATATCACCAGACCGAATAATTTTTTAAATAATACATATCAATCTTATCCATGAGTATTCGTCATAAAAAGTTTTTAAATGTTTAGTTTAATAAATGAGATTTATAAATCACAATAATTAACTTAATGATTATAATGTTACTTCATTATAATCTTGTAAGGATTATAAAATTAATCAGACCATCCAAAGAGCTATGATTGGGATAAGGGAAAGATTAATTAAGACGAACATATATAGCCTCTTAACTACTCCTCGAACCACTCTAATGAGATTGTTTGTGTTGCTTGATTTGTCAACCATGTACTTGTCTTCATGTAAAATGGGTAAATATTTTATAAGTAAATAATTGGATTTATATAGATATACAAGCATTGATTGGGGCTAGCTTTGCCCAAATGTCAAAGTGGTCGGCATTCTTAATATATAATAAGTTTATAATATTGTACATATACAAATTAACTTTTTGAATATAGGAACCATACACATATTATTACATTGTTAAGAAAAAATATATTTTCTTAATACTAAAAATTATCCTTTTAATAAAATAATGGAGTCCGGAGGCAAGACATGTTTATACGGAACAAAATAAAGTGGCTGATTTATTTGCAAGACTCTCATTTTAGTATGAGTTTGGATGTACGATTGCTCAATGCTAAAATTTCACAAATTTCGCTAGCTTTTTTTTTTTTTTTTTTTTTTCCTTAGCAGGTTGTACGTACCGTTACACCATATAAGTGAAAGACCAAACACATATCTCTCTTTCCCGCTTTAAGCCCCTAGATTCCCTTACTTAGCTTCTGAATTATCTAACGAACTAAGACTATCGAGTCTGTTTTTCGAGTTGCTATTGGATAACACAAAAGAGGTATACCATGAGCTAAAGAGGTCCCTTTTCATTTTATTTAATTTTCAAGGTTTAATTTCCCTTCCCATTGATTTGAAAAAGAAAATCAGATCAATTCCTTTTAATTTGTGTATATACACACACACACACATTCTTTTACAATGTTTAAAACTTTTCTAATTGTACCAGCTGGTGCAAATTAACACACTAAAATTTCTATATTATTATAGTGTTAAAAAAAAAATCATATATGCATATATAGACAAATATTGTGATGGAGTTTGTAGTTTAGAATTATAAATACTACGTAGTATTGTATGAGAGTGGTTAGAATAATGAGGTGATGGGTGACGCATGCAGTGTCAAAGTGTACATATATAACCAAACTTATTCCCTGTCGCTTCTCCCTCGTAGCTGCTCCACTTCAACAAACCACCTAAAATATCCCTTCCACCTTCAATTCATTCCTCATTTCATTTCAGCTGATGAGGTAAACGTACCCACACTAACATATATGTTACGTTACGACTGCAAATATTTATGAATACGACGTCTAACGAACTATATATGTAATACTTATATACAGTTTTTATTAATTTTAAACGCAATATATTGACTCTATTACAATATAATATATATCTAATCTATAGTTCAAATATGTGACATTTCATTTGGGAGTGTCACAAGTCACAAGTAATATCACTTGATCACAAGTTCTTTGGCTGTAATGAGTATAATAGAATTCAGTTTTTTAAAAGTAATTTTTGCATGGGATTCTGAAGTTGTGTGATATTTTTAATTTGGTGGATCGGAGGTTGTGATGCTTGCAAGGAGTGTGATCAGATCATTACTTACTCTTCAGGAGACAAAGGGATTAGGTAGATAGTAGGTGGACTTTTTCAGCAAAATGTTATACCTAATATTTTTTTATAGTATAACAAACTCCTGATTGAATATCTGAAAATATATATATAACTTTAGAATTAACATTTAGTTGTAGAATTCCACTTGGATTCAATGTACTCCATATTCATCTTCCATCCTATATATCATTTACATGAATATAATGCTCAATTAACATTGAAACAAAGAAAAATTAAATTCGATATGCTTAAACTTACAAAGAATTCAAAACAACAAATCTAAAAATAAAACATGCATATATGTATGTAATATAGATTTTAAGTAATTTTGCAATAGAAGCTAACTAGCTAGCTGGGGAAACTCCGATCTGAATATCCGATCCTTAATTATTGATCATGAACTTCAACGTGCTATTGTTGTTGTCATCTTCGAAAGCTTTCCCTTTTCCGTTCTCCGGCTTTGCGTGTTGTTTAACCATGTTTGAGAAATCAATATTTTCGTCTATTCCCCAATCGCCATAGTAACCTATTATTCTCGAGTTACTGTTCTTGTTAGCTTTTTTCTTTCCCCCATTCTTCTTCTTCCCTGGTTGCCAAAAACAACAGGATGACATTCTTGACAGGGTTGTGTTGAAATCTTGATGGAATCAACAAGATTAGCACAATGGGGGAGAAAAATATTTTTTATTTTGTTAAAACTATAGAAAACTTGAGAAGGGGCACGGTTTATTTATATGCCCCTTGAGTGTAGGTGTTTGTGTGCTGTAAAATAGTTTCTTAATGCTAAAGAAAATAACATGAGTTGTTCATATATATCAACTATAGGTGTATATGTGCTGTATGCATTCTATACATTATTGTCGTATCTGATTTATCACGTGAATTATTGTCATATATGATGATAACATATATTTCATGTGAGAAAAATTTTACTTAAGATAATACGTCTAATAGTTTAAGTGTGAATTAATATTAAATTTTAATTCTAGAATAAGGCCCAGAAAACGGGCTGAAACAGTGGGCCGATATGAAAGTTGTAGCCCAGTTTGGGGAAGGTGGGCCCAGTGAAATCCCTTGCTTTTCGGCTGTATTCGGAAAAACGCCATAAGCATGAATTAGCCGTTAGCTTCCACCTCCATGTTTGACTGTCTGTCTCCATTACAGTGAGAGTGGCAAGAATATCGTCTTTTACAACTGTTTGCGGAAAAAGGAAATTGAAGTCATAAAAATCGTTTCTTTGTCTTCTTCCCTGAGTATAGAGCATTGTGATTTGTGAGTGAAGGTCGAAAACATGGCCGATTTTTCGTTTCTTTCGGATAGCGACGATGAAAAGGCGGTGGAGGAGCTTCTGTCTCAGGCGATGGATCAGTCTGTTCTCGAGCAGGTCGCCGCCATAAACTGCTCCGGCTTTACCCACTCCGACCTCCCCGATCACCTCGAAGCTCGCTTTCGAAAGCTCAAAACTTTCCCTGCCACAAAACCCAACCCCTCAAACCTCGCCGCCGCTTCTAAAAGCTTCAATCATTCTCAGCTCGTTGAACCCCAGAGGAAAGAAGATCGAGCCGAGGAGAATCCGGACTCGGCTGTTGATTCACCCCCACCAAAATTGGGGACTGAGAATCATGATTTCTCTGCTTCCAAGAAAAACCCAGATAGAAAAATGGATTCAGAGCCCAAATCCGGGTCTGGGTCATCTTCATTTTCTCTGGGTTCTCCCGATTTTTCAACGGAGCCCCCGTCCCCGCCGGCGAAAATTGGCTGCATATGGTGCTCCCCCAAGAAGGTCTCGAAGAAGAAGGGGAAAGAGAACAGGGCCACTATCGGTAAAGGATTCGATTGGGGGAAGAGCGATGCTGAATTTCTATCGGATTTGAGCACCTTTTCCAAGAAGAATCAGGAGAAAATGCTGAAGAAAGCCATGAAGGAAGAGGAGAAGATCAACATGGAGGCTGAGAAGATTGTCCAGTGGGCAAAACAGGCCTCTGCTAGGATCGATTTTGCTGGCCTTGATGATGAACTCAGTGACAATGAAGCTCATGGACGATGATTTGTTGTTTCTATCATATATACTCATTTATATGTACATTTATATATAAGATTGCAGTTTATGGATATGATGAAAACCCCTCCAGGGAAGAACACTCTGCGGGCAACAACAAACTATTCTGAGAAGTTCACCATTTATCCTTTATGTTTTCGTTATTTACTTGAAGAAATGATTTCTTTAACTGGGTTTCCATTAAGGGAGGTAGAAGTGAAGTGGAGAATTATGCTTAAGTTATTGATGTGATTCTATATAAGAACGTTACTATACTATTGCAGTGAGTGAAACTAGATCATACAACATCAACATAGTTTGAATGCAATACAGGTTAGATGGTAAAAACGAAATTCATTGTGACAAATTGTTATCTAATTTGCACTCGCATTAGCCCTTTTATGAGCATGACCAAGAGAAATTGAATACTCTCATGTATGCACAAACAACTCAGTTGGTTCATGAGTACCCTAATGTATGCACAAACAACTTAGTTGGTTCATGAGTGATAAATATGAACAATAATTTCACTTTTTTATGAGCAAGATACACATTACAGTTGACTATATACACTCTAATACGTCTTTGTCAAGATAATTTTCTTGATGGCCACTAAAGTCATTTTTCAATTTAATCGCCATGAAAATAATTATAAATTGTACACAATTTTATTGCAATATAATAGATTAAATTTTATACACGTTTAGAAGGTGAAATTATATTTTTAAAAAGAAGAAAATGAAACAAACTATATTGTACAACATCAATATAATTTGAATGCAAAAGAGGTTAGGTGGTCAACATGAAATCTATTGTGACGAGATGTCATCTAATTTGCACTGACATTTGCCTCTATATGAACATGTTAAACAAGAGATAGACATCAATACTTGCATAGACAGTTTAGTTAATTTTTAAATGATAAATTTTAAGTAATGATTTCATTTTTTTTTTAAACAAGAAATACACGCCCATAAATGATTATGCACATCCTAATTTATCTTTATCAAAATAATTTTCTTTGATATCCACTACAGCCGTTTTTCAATTCAGCCACCATGAAGATAATTCTAATCTTTCTAAAATGTACATAATTTTACAGCAATATTATAGACAAATCTTATACAAGTTTTCTTGATGACATGCTTTTTCATTGAATAATTGAGAGTGTGATTGAGTAAAAGGGACTCAATTATTTTTTAAAAAAAAATTCAAGAGTTTAATCCTTAACTTCAGGTATGAAAAATTATTAAATGTAGATCCTGAGTACACCAAAAATGCATTCTTCATTGAACACACCTTCCGACATTTTAGAAGGTCCGAAACGAGGTAGAATTGACCAAAACGTAATAAATGGCGGACAAATAGATACTGAACCATGTTGGATTGTCGTGGCCGGTCCCAAAAACACGTCTTTATGAAATCTAAGCTTTGCCTTCCTCTTTTGATCTCTTGCCGTTCTATAGCAAGTGAGCAACCATAGCGCCAGCCAGCATAACGCCGTGGCCTTTTACCGACACCTGTTCCTTTCAATCCAATGATCCAATTCCCCTTTTAGATTGGCTCTACTCTCTTGGGATTTTCCACCTTTCCTCTGACAAAAAGGAACCCAGATTCCCACTTTCAAAGTGCTTTCAATTTCCTAGCTTTGCTGGGTATTTTCTCTTCTTCCTTTTTTTCTTATTGGGTTCCTATTTCCCACCTATAATTATCCATTGTGTGTGTGTGGTGGGGGCGGGATTATCACAGTGAAGAAGAGTTTGATAGACAAGAAGATCAAGAATGGAGGCTTTAAAGAAGCAAGCAAGTAAACTAAGGGAGCAAGTTGCCAAGCAACAGCAAGTGTGTATTTTTAATTCTGTTTCCTGTCCTACTTTTCTTATGTTTTTATAGAAAATTTCTCCTTTTCAATTTGCTCTTTCAAGATAAAATATGGCCTTTTTTAGCTATTATTTACTAGTGTTTGTGGGTTGGGGTGAAATTTTTTCATTCTTATCCTCAATTGAAAATTTGATCTGACCCCATTGAAGATTTCTAGCTGTTTATGGAATATGGAGTTTTTCTTTATTTGTTTCCTTTTTTCATGTTTTTGTTATATATATAGTTTTTCATGAACTGGATACCAAAGTGCTGGAAACCTACTTTAGTGCTCTCTGTGTATGACAAAATTTATCATAAGCCCGACTTGTATTGTGTTGTTCTCCAATGTTGTCTGGTTACATAAGCATCCTTGTTACTTTGGACTGTACTACATAGTCATTTTACTTGAAAAATGAGCATGAATGCTGTTAATTTGTACTGAACTTCATGTTCATTTAGAATGAACTATATGCTTATTTAGTATGCACACTAGGTGAATAATATACTGATTGGCTGACTATTTTTCACTTGTGTGAGTGTATGTGAGATAACATTCTAAGATTTGTCGAGGGGAAATGGACAATTGAAATTCTGAATAAGTAGTTGCTTCCCTTGAAGATTAGAAACATCATGTTCCCCTTCTCGTAATCCTTACTTTTACTTCTTTTTTTTACACCATATTTCGAGACATGCATGCTAACGTTTTGCATTGTTGCAAAATTTGGATTAACCGAGGTTCTTGAATTTGTGATGCCCCTAGAGCTTAGTCTTACTTTTCTTTGGTAGACGATTATGAGGCACTTGGGCCAGTTGGGCCATGAATCTGTAATGGTAGACGAAGCTGAACTACAGTCTCACCAACAACTCGAGGCATTATACCTATCTACCAGAGCTGCAAAGGTAAATCCACCAACCTTAGAGCCAATGTTTTTTGCTCTGCCTTTTTCTTTCTCTTAAATAAATTTTATTGTTCAAATTCAAGTAACTCGATCTTATGAGAAGCTTTGAGTTTGGAGATCTTTTATTTGTATTGTTTGTGATGTTCCACAGCATTTTCAAAAGGATATCGCCCGTGGTATAGAAGCACATATTTCAACTAGCCGAAAGGAAATGCAGATAGGTGCTTTGATCTTTTGTCCTTACCTCAGTTTGATTCAATTTTATGGCACGTATACAAAGTTTCAACTTCATATGTAGCTAGAAAGTTGGCTAAGGATTGTTGCAAATATGGGAATGAGAATGAAAGTGGTGCTTCTCCCATTGCAAGGGCCGCTTCGAACTTTGGTGCTTCACGTGCTGCAATGGAGGATGAAAGAGAAACTATGCTCGGAATTTTAGGACAGCAGGTCATATTTTGTTTTTTATGGTTATAAACTAAGATTGGGTTAGGATCACTCAACTGGGTTATAATGCACATGGGTCAAACCACACTAAAAGATTGAATCCAACTTATTTAGCTAGTCTAACCATGACCTTATAAACCCATATATCCTCTCTTATTTTATTGAGACTCTTAACAATTATATTTGTAGAATAAGTGAAAATTGCAGTCTAGCATGCATATAATGATTCTGGTAATAATTTTCTACTGTAGGTTTCTGAGCCATTACGTGCAATGGTTAATGGTGCTCCTCTTGAAGATGCTCGTCGTTTGACTCATCGTTATGACAGAATGCGGCAGGAGCTTGAAGCCCAGGTATTGCTCATTTGAGTACCTGAGAATGCATTCTAAGGGGCCATAAATTTCGCACAGATGTAATGCTTTGCCTTCTCCTTGTCAGTTTTCCGAAGTAATAAGGCGCCAATCTAAGTTCAGAGATTCTTCTGCCGAGAGTTTAGTGAAGCTCAAAAATTCAGAAGCGAAATTGACTGAGCTTAAATCTTCTATGTTGGTTCTCGGAAAGGAGGCAATTGTGTCCATGTTATCTGTAGAGGAGGAGCAGCAACAGACTACTTACCAAAAACTTCTTACAATGGTATTTCCTGTTCATTTTATCTTTTGTTATGCTACGGGTTGACCACTTGAAATTGGACTACGGTCACTCAACTGGGCTATAATGCACATGGGCCAAACCACACTAAAAGATTGAATCCAACCAATTAGCTAGTCTAACTCATGTCTTTATAAACTCATATATTCTCTCTTATTTTATCAATGTGAACTCTTTGATCTACTGTCTAATATTGGGTTTTTTTTGGGGGGTGAACTCGTGGATCTTGAATATACCGAATGGATCTAAAATATCGCACGCTTGGCATTATTCTGTGACGCATAGTTATGTATCTATTGTTACCTAAAAGAGTACAGGGGGGACATTCATTCGTAACGCATGCTTCCAAGTTGAACTTTGTCATGTTATTGTTGCTTAAATTGGTTTCAGCTTGCAGGTGGATGCTGAAAGATCTTACCACCGGAATGTCATTGCTACATTGGAAAAGCTACATTCCGAGGTCTGTACTTTCTTGTCAGTACCAAGTATTTTCACAATTTAAGAAGAGGGGAAATTATATTCTGCATTCTAAATTTTCATTTGATGTAATAGATGATTCTAGAAGAACAATCAAACGAGTCTTCACTACAATCATCATTTTCACAAAGAGAGGTACATGATCCTGCTTCAAATGGATCTTCCCATCTTGGAGACGACGATAAAAATGAGAATGATTTCATTGCAAAGGTAAGTGGGCTATTATTGTTAGAGAATTTGCTTTCCTCTGAAAATTTTCTCAACCCCCTTTCCTCAATCTACTTTAACAACAGGTTATACACCCGTTTGATGCCCAAGGCGATGGTGAGCTAAGTCTTGAACTTGATGATCATGTGGTGGTTCGGCAGGTACTTTGTGCTGTTTGTGCTATACTACTCTTTTTCCATCAACTTCCATTTTATCTGCTTAGCCATTACGAGTGTGCCAAATCAAAATTAGCTTTTCTTTCATCCATTGCATTATGAAAACGCATACCATCATTGCTTTCCTGAGAAACTGATGGTTCTTTGATGCATGGATTTTACGTAGGCGGCTCCTACCGGATGGTCAGAAGGAGAAAGCAAGGGTAAATGCGGCTGGTTTCCCTCAGCTTATGTAGAAAAGATAGGCGAAGCCCCAGCAATCAAATTAGGTAAAGAGGATTTGAAATGATAAATACAG